ATCCAACAAATAAACAGACGAAGAAACAAAGAAGCACAACGAAAAAAAACAAAGGCGACGGCAGGCAGCGACGGCCAAGAACGCCTCTCGCGCCGCCTCCTTCAGCTCGAGAACGGCCGCTTCCAAGGGTCTTAGCTTTTTCCCAGTCCTCCTCGCGCTCCCTCCCTCCTCCTAACGCGAGCTGGAGGTCTATTTTCCTCCTCGGTTTTTTTTCTCTTTTTTAAAATTCTAATATTCCCTCTCTCTATTTCGAATTGGCTTTGCCATTTCCCCCTATAGTAGTAATAGTAGAAGAAATTATAATAATTTGGTTGATGATATTGATAATAATGATATTAATGATGATGATGATGATATTCCTCGTCCAGAAAAAAAGCTGAGAAGAAGACCGAGTCGCTGCCAGTCTTTCAGTCTTTCGCTCGCGGAGAGAAAGTTCGCGGCGGCGATTCGGCTTTCGTCCGGCTTTTCAGGCTCGCGATTCTAGCGGGGGGGGGGAGAGACATGGCTCTCTCTCTCTCTGTCTGTCTCTCTCTCTCTCTCTCTCTCTCTCTCTCTCTCTCTATATATATATATATATATATATATATATACACACACATATATATATATGCTAAGGGATAAGATAGATGATTATCATAATAACATGATATAAATCAATAACTACAGTAAAAAAAAGATCTCAATAATTGGTAAAATAAATATAATTCGATACATGGAAGACTCCCTTCGTCCCTTATAAAAATAGAAAAGAAAAAACGTACAAATACCACATACCTGTATAGAAAAATAACTTTTATAATAAAATAACGATAATTGTACATTTTTTTTTTTTTTTTTTTTTACCGACTCCCATTTCCTTCTTCCTTCTAATTTTCTCGCAAAATTGGAGAACGTAATTTACACATTTTTTTTTTTACTTATTTATTTTAACGAAGGGCACACCATACCGCACTCACCCCCGCGGAGGCACTTGGGGTCACTTCGCGTTTCTGTTTATTTCCGTTTTCTGTGAGTTCCTGGAGGGAGTTAGTTCCGGGTGGAGATTCCTGACGTTTAGATTTTGTTTGTTTATCTGTGTGTTTTTGTGAGACCTGTGGTTGTTTTCTTGTGTTTGTGTGCCTTTAGTTTTTTTGTGTTTCCCTTTCGTAGCCTTTGTTTCTTTGTGTTTATTGTTTGTTCTTTGTTTTGTGTGTCTTCTCTGTTTTGTTTTTCGTTTTTTTTTGTTTAGCTGTGTTTTTTTTGTCTGATTTGTGTTTTAGAATTTGTTTCTTATAACGCGTTACTATATCTTCTCGTGTGTATGTGTGTGTGTGTGTGAGAGAGAGAGAGTCAGTGTGTGTGTGTGTGTGTGAGAGAGAGAGTCAGTGTGTGTGTGTGTGTGTGTGTGTGTGTGAGAGAGAGAGAGAGAGAGAGAGAGAGAGAGAGAGAGAGAGAGAGAGAGAGAGAGAGGTGAAACAGACAGACAAATAGATAAATAGACACATAAAGATCCTGCTGTAACAGAGGGAATAATTTGAATGAAGAACATATTTCGAATTGTTTCCCTTATGTGATACTGCTAACGGTAAAAGTAAGAGTAATGATAATTATTTGGATAATGATGATAATATTAATGATATGGATAATGATAGTAATGATAATAGCATTAATGGTAATGATAATCATGACGGCGGTGATGGTGATGGTAATGATGATAATAATGATTATAATGATAATAATAGCAGCGATAACAACAGCAACAGCAATGATAATTAATAATGATGGCATCATAGTTATTATCATTATTATATGTATATGATAATGATAACAGTAATGGTGATAATGACAACAATAATAATAATGATGGTAATAGTAATGATAATGATAACAATGATAATGTACTTACAACAGTAATGAAAATGACGAAAAATAATGATGGTAACAATGATAATCATAATCAGACTGAGAGCAATGATAATGATAGCAGTAATGATAATTACATAATGTTAAGTATGATGGTAATAAAGATAACAGTAATGATAATGATAGTACGCCAGCAATGATGACAATAACAAAGACAATAATGGTTACACCGTTAATGATAATTATCACAAAATCACTGATAATAACAGTAAAGATACCGTTATTTCCGGTATTTATCAGGCAGTGCAATGAGGTGGAACCGAAATATGATTTTCGGTTTAGTATGAGACATGATTCATCAGCTTTGTAAATCTTACAATGTAGGTGCGACAGTCTTACGTCTACATGTAACGGTGCAGATAGATTTTGAAAAGTATTAATGGGAAAGGAAATATGACGGTCATAGAAATATTGATGGTGATGATGATAATGATGATGATGGTGATAATAATGATATTGATTATGTTTATTATAATGGTAATATTGATGGTGATAATCATGATAATGTTCATAGGGATGATAACTATGGTGACCAAAATAGCTATAATGATATAGATGATAATAACGATATAATAATTACATTAGTATATGACCTTGGTGTCTAGCACATTTCTCTCTGTTAACTATCAACTATTAGTAACGATAATGATAACGATGACAAATACAATAGAACTAATCTGATTATTGAGGCCAAAGGCGACGATAACGGCATCGCGCCAAACAACAGTAATATCAATAAAACTAATACGTGTTGCAAGCAAGCAAGCAAGCAACCCGATTGAGAAGAGATGCAGACGTTGCAAAGCCGCCGGAAAATCTCTCGATTGCAATCTACCTTGATGTAAACGGATTAGTTTCGGGATAGGGAGAGGTAGGGGGGAGGGGTAGAGGGGATGAGGGAAAGGAAAAGGGGTATGGGAGGGAGTGGATAGAGGATGGAGAAGAGGGGTAAAAGAGGGGAGGAGAAGGGAGTGGGGGAGGA